ACTCCATCACAGGGTACATACACAAGGCGCAAACACACTCACACCAGGGCCAGTTTGTCCAGAAGCCCGTTAACTTACCCGTACGTTTTGGGGGCTGTGGAAGGCAACTAAAGCACCCGGAGGAAACCCACAGGAACACAGAGAGAACATACAAACTCCACACAGACAACATCTCAGTTCAGGAATTGAGCTAGGAATTGAATTGCTAGGCAGCAATGCTAATCACTCTACCATCGTTCTGTCCTGCTTCTGAACTAATTTCTCTTCAATGAGTTTTTCTTCACCCAGGAGGACAAGGAAACTTGTGTATCATTCTTAAAAAAACAGAGGGGCTTCATACTGAAACGAGGGCCATCTTTCAAATCCTCAAATAGAGGCTCACACCAGGCACAGGTTCAGCCTCAGCTAAGAGAGGGGGAGTGGGATAGGAGGCACTCCTTCACTGTGAAAGAGCAAAGTGTTCATGCCAAATAAGACTGTCTGCCACATCAATCATCAACTCACTTGCATCTCTGAAGAGTAGTTGTACTAAGACTTAAATTTGCAGGTTTAGTGCTCTGAATGTTGCTTTTTTCCCTCAGCTTTGTTCTTCACAGAACAAAGCTTCGCAGAAATGCTGCCACACCTAAGAAGAAGGATGAGCACCTCCAGTCCTCAAGGGCCACGTAGTGTTTTGGTTATTGTTCCACCTCTCATCGGATTGAATTTAGTTAATTATTTTGATTAAAGTCATGCCTTTCCACTGCCCTAAATAATACATTTCCAATGAATAAGGACCCATAAAAGCTGCAGGGATCCTGCCTTTGGGGAATGGAATTGCACATCCCTGTCTCAGTTTAACACCCCTGTTTGGCTTAACATCCCGGTGGGCTCTCAGTTTAATCATTTGCTCTGTCAGCCTTCCTTAATCAGTTTCAGCTCTTATTAAACTTGAAAGCAAAGATCTCATGTTTCTAGTAAGATGGTGAGAGATTGCTTGAAGCCTTCCAACACTGAAGAGCTGAAAATGAAAAGGTCAGGTTATAGAATGCACTACATTTGATTAAGCGGACAAGAATTCAGCTAGAATAAAAACGGCACATTAGAAGCCAGATTGATCTGCCCTGCCTCACAGAAAGCTATCTTATAGCATTTTTCAGGGCTGCCACTATGGCTTTTGGCACTAGTCTTTGACTTTATTATACCAACATTATAATAATAATAGCTTACATTATATAGCACTTTTC